TATATATATATATATATATATATATATATATATAGAAAGAGAGAGAAATATAAGAAACCAGTCAGCTCGTAACTTTCGTACCTTTCGAATTTAGTTTCACGGAAAACTTGGACGACACTCGGGTGAACTTTGCCGACACGTTGCGAATATTTCACACACGCGAAAAGAATGGAGAGACGCGGCTGATTCGGGTGTGTACCCCCCTCGGTCGACAAGGGTTGAATCGGCCGATTCGACGACTCGATGACAAACGATTATCAATTACGATCGACCACGTTCGATTGTCCTCGTGTAAGACGGATATTGGGCGCCTTCCCCCCCATCCCCGAGTCGATGGTGCCCTTTGTCATTAAACCGCGTTTCTATCGATCAGGCGTGGTTTGGGAACCACCTGACGCTTCGAGGATCTGCCTCGTTCCTGAGGAATTACACCATGTTCACCGCAGATGCACCGATCCCTCCTCTGAGTAATGGCTTCCCGAACTGCGGAAACCTTGTCACGGATTCTTAAGGCGATAAATCAACCGAGGCGGAATGCAATGTTTCGACAAGGTGAATTCGTCAAAAGGGGATGTTGAAGAGGATATTAATTGGGAAGGGGAAAGAAGAAAATATTGTTTTTCTGTAAAATGAAGTGTATCGGTCGACGTAACGTCAAAATCGTTTTTCGAAAATTGTTTCGATCGAAATTACGCGATTTTAGGATTAATAATGGAATTATTCACGGTCGACGATTTGTGTCACGCTCTCCACAAAATGTAATAGAGCAGACAGATGGTTTTCAATGAGCGGTGGTGAAATGTTGGTGACAGAAAGTAAAGGCTAGATGCGCTTGTATTTAATTTAATATCATTTATAACAGGAATGTTTGTGTACGGAGAATAACATTTCGAGCGAAATATTAGAAAATATATAAAAATTGCATTTTTTTAAAATAAGTAAGATAATCGTATTTCTTCTAATAATCGATCGATAAGATTTCTTCAATTTGCACGTGTTTTTTATATTATTACGATAACGTCGTATAATCAATTGATTTCATTGCCATGTTTGAGAAATGTCAGCGAAAATTATTGCATAAATCTTATTAGATAGAAAAATCGTTATTTTTACTATCTATGTATAAATATAAGTATATTTATGTTATTTTATATATTCTCAACACTTTATTGTTTAATTTCAAACATTCGCAGAAGAATATCGTACTTTGATAACGAGAGATACTCGTTGGGAGAATTATTGAAACATCTAAATCTACATGGAAAACGAAATTAACTCGAATGGAATTTTCTATCAAATTGAGGATCATTGCTCCGCATTATTCGCATCGAATACATTTGCATTCCTCGGACAAATGTTTGCATGTTTGTACTCAGCATCCTCCTCTCGAAAATTTCGAGAAACGATTTCGATAAATTTCACGTTTATCCCTCATAGAGATGATTGCATATTCCAATTAAAATCGATCAAAGATTGGATCAAAGAAATACTTCACTTGCTAGAATCAATATATCTCGAGAAAAACGCGCATCCTTCAAAACTTTTTTGGCGATTTGACACGCAGGTTTTAATTTTTCTACATCCCGTTCAACGGCTATTATTATTATCCTAAATAAAGGCACAGATTGGCGAGCAGCCTTCGAAATTTATTTCGACAAGATCCGACAGACAATTCCGTGACAATTTCGGGGTTGGCCTCTTGGCCACGCGAGACTCACGGTTCCTGAGTTTTCCCTCCACGTACGTTCTGAGAACC